AATCTTGTACACTAGCTTTAGCCAAGGGCTTGCCTTTGAACCATGAACCCCTATCGCATTTTTGATTTACAGTGAAAAACAAAAAGACGAGGTACCCTCGATTTCGAAAGATGAGAAGAAAATCGAGTGCAGACCACACACCATAAGAGACGACGGCCAAGAAGAAAAAGCCGCTTTCTCTTGGCCGTCGTCTCTTATGATGTGTGGTCTGCACTCGATTTTCTTCTTGCCTTCCAAAATAGAGAATATGTAGATCAGAATCGGGCTCATAAGAAATAGGAATGTGATCCGTTTCGACACCTACTAGACTAGGTAACCCATTGTATTCAGTTACCCTGTGAGGCAGAGCGCAAGAGTTGACGTGGTAAGAAACCAGAAGGTAATGCTTAACGTAAAACATGTGAAAGTTTTAGGTCAATAATTTGGTTGACTATTGTAAGCGAATGCTTTCAGGGACCCATCAGAAGTCGGATTCGCCAGCTGCTTTCTATACGGCCGTGAATGGACTTTTTTCTCGTTTGAAGCGACACTGTTCGCAGTGCTGTACCTTTTGCTAGGATCGCTATCGCTCGCTGCAGCTACCGTATTCTGCTTTACCCACGGCCTCATCGGAATCACATCTTTGCTATGTAAAAATCATCTTGTGAAGAGCAGCCTTGTGGATCATCGGTTTTTAATTTGATTCTCTGAGTAGGGAGATTTTTGTGCCCCTACCTGTCCGAGAGCGAGTAACCTTTGCGCGCAATAACGCAGAATTTAGGTTGATCGAGTTCCCTGTTCCATTCTACCGTGCTGTGTCTTGACGCGCAACAGTTGATAGACAAGGTTTCTATAAGTTCAGTGAGTAAATGGTGTAAATGTAAGCCTACGCTTCCTTTAATGTGTTGACGAGTAACGAGTTAGATTTGTATAGATTATCGATTGCTCCTATCTAGTATCTCACAACTATAATTATCGTCCGGTATCATTTGGACATATCACCTGGCTCGTGATATTACACAGACTTGTCCCGCTGCGATTGTATCACGTTGTCAGCTTTTGTTCATGATAATATCGAGACAAATTGAATCACCTGACATAGGGAATTGTTGAAGGCAAATTCCAGGTTAAAATGGGGGAGTTGCCTGTTCCGATATGAGGTGCTTGGTGCCAGGTGAATCAAGGTTAAAGAAAGAAGCAAGAAATACCTTTGAGGAAGCCTAAAATTAGAACTTCCTCTACGTTAGTTTTACAAGCCAGAACTGGTTTTTCGTGTCTGGACGTGTTGACAGCAACTACTGGCTCTGTGCATCAATCACACGGCCATAAAAACTGAGCAATAAAACCTGTTTCCAGTTTTCTTATACTTTTCTCTTCATCTGCCCTCTTTTGTTTGCTTCCTTCCCTAAAAACTTGAACTTCACTAAAATGACGGCTGG